CCTTACCTCAGCTCCCAAATGCAATGATGGGATTGAGCCCTCTCCTGCCAGCCTTCACTTGCCTATCTGAAGTCTTACGCAGTAAGCAGGGTTCTCTTGCTATGCCTGTGGACAACACCTAGCACGTTGTGTATTTCCATGTCAGGCCTGCTGTGGTACTAGGTGGAGAACACCCATGATTGGCAGCCTTTCAGAGTCACTACCCCGACTCAGCTGAGCCCAGCATCGCTGCCTTCCACCCGACCGGTGCGGTCTAGCTCCCTCTGCAGCGAGACTGTCAACGGTGCCAAACGACAGGCAAGAACGAAGGCTTGTCCCACCATTTCCCAGGGAACGCCTGCGCCTAGCCAGAATGCGGCTCCGTCCCAGATTGTCTGACTTTTCCATCACCCCCAAACACTAACTCCAGCCCCTTTCCCCAGACCGAGGCACCCTACCTCAGTGCAACCTTCAGAGACTTGGAGCCGTGGTACTTGGAGTTGATCACCAGCGCGTTCTCCAGGAATCGGAGGGCCAGGTCGTATTCCATGACTCCGTGAAGCACCAAACCAATGTTGTTCTAAGGGCAAGCACCACACACAGGTCAGAGAACAGGAGGGAGTTCTGAAAGGCAACTCCCGACCAAGCTAATGACACAAAGAAGTTTGGGGGCCTGTTATTAGGTATTTGTAGAGGAGCCCACAGAGTCCCCTTGCACTAGGGAAAAAGAAGCACTCTCATTTTACTGACAGGGAACTGAGGTACAGGCAGGTAGCGACTAGCCCAAAGTTGCCCCAGAAATCTATGGCAGAACTGGGAACTGAACCCACTTCTCCTGCATCCCAGTCCAGTGCCTTAGCCACAAGACCACCCTTCCTGTACAGAAGATGTTCCTTCCCCCACAGGGTCTGTGCAATAATGCACATTGGAAGAGGCGGAGAGACACTGCCTATCAGCAGCGAACAAGCGTCGTGAAGCCGAAACAAGACGTTCACACTGAGGGATCACTTACATCTAAGAGGGCCATTTCCGGGTGATCATCTCCAAATACCAACAGCATGAGGTAGCGTGCGCGGTACAGTAAGTTTAATGCTGTGGAGAGCTGGCTGTTGGCAAAGCAATACAAAGCAAGGTGCATCTGCAACATAAAGAAACTTTCAAGGGTTAAAACTGCTTCACTTCCTCAATGCGCATAAACCAGCCTCTCTCCCACCGATTTTGTTTGGGGCACCGAGAAAAGCTCTGTGTTCAAAAGGCTAAAGATTAGTCAAGGTTGTAACCATTAGGAAGAGTTGCTAGTCTACTTAAAGACCCCGATTTATCGGGTGAGATCTAGTGTTGAGACACAGTTGTGTTAATATACATCAGGTCAATATTTCCCAATAGCTTCAGAAGATACACACGCTGGTCAACATTGAAATAACTCCCCAGCCATCACACAATTTTATAAAACTAGGAGGTGAGGTGGGGAGGGGCCTGTAAAAAAAAAAAACATATTTTTTAATAATGAAAATAATCTGGCAAACCAGAGAAAGCGTCACACACAGCAAAACAAATACAAGTCAGAAAAAACAAAGAATCATCTTATGGTTGAGCTATGAATGGACTTAGTCAGACTTGGGGATGTTTAAAACGTGAGCAACGGCAGGATCAGCGTGAGAGAAATGTTGACTAAGGCCCTTCTACCGAACGGCAGGGCAACACTGACCGCGTGGGGTTCCTTGGGAGAATCCAACTCAATGTCTCTTCCTGGCACTACTGTAAGTTGGTTTTGCACAAAGTTTGTGTTTCAGGGCCTGCTTTTCAGGACTTCATTTTTAATTCTTGTGATTCAATGACGCACTACGCCAGAGACTCGCTTTTTACGCCTCTGGCTCCTAGTAAGAAAGCACCCTAGGAAAGAAACGGCCCCAAGAAAGCCTGCAGCAGGGGGAGAACAGATGCGTCAAGAGCCTATTTTACACAGTTCAGGTGGCGACCGCTCTTGCAAACATGGGGAGCAGTTACAACTCCCACTGACGCCCGATGCAACGCTTAGGGTTAGGGTTCTCTCCTGATACTCACGTATTCCTGGATTGTGTTGGGATGCTCAATACCCAGGACCCTCTCGCTCATTAGCACCGCTTTCTGTTGATTACTTAAGGCCTATGAAAGAATGACAAACAGGAGGATGTAGCAAATTATGAGACCCCTTTCTGGAGATACCTGAGTGGGAAGAGAAGAGAGGAGAGAGGAAGGTGTTGCCGTTTCCAGCTTCTGTCTCTCTCAAGAAATAGAGGATTCTCCGCTACAGTTTCCATTAATTGTTGGATTCCAGCAACAGCAACGCCTTCCAGAGACTCAATGAGACATGCCAGGGCACAGCTAGGTTTGGCTCATGGGAACTCTTCTGCCTTGGCCAGTGGGAAACCCAGTTTAATGTCCAGTGGGAGTCAGAGGAGATGGTTTTCTCTGTTCCTAGGGTTCACTCAGCAGCTCAAGTCCCACCCCACCCTGGGGGTGACCAGACAGCCAACACAGGACAAGGGACCCTCTGAAGGTAGCCCCAAAGCATGAAGGGCTGCTAATCCCAGCACTTTCCAGGCCAAATGAGCCGGGGGAGGGGGGTCACTGCTGGGGAGGAGGACACGTGTTGGCTACCAGTAGGAGACCAGAAGGAACCAATGATGTCCAGCTAGGAATGGGGGAAAGGAACGGGATCCAAGTGGGTTTCTCCTCAAAGTCCACCTGGCTAGAGGTGAAAGCGACATCACCTGATGGCCCAAGGGCTCGCTAGCTAAGGTCACCACCCAGGGAAAAAGGGGAAACCCACTGACGTGAAAGATTGTTTCCTTCAGTCTAATTTCATGCTTCGATCACAGCTTCCCCAAGAGAAACAACTTAACTCAGGAGGCGCCATTATGCTGTAGGGACCCAGGCGTTCTACCCCTTCCAGAGACAGGGAAACAGACGGGATTAAGTGGCTGGAAACAAGTCTGGAATTAGAACCCCGGAGACCAGGCCTCAGGACTGTCGTTACATCCACCCCTCAGCTCATTCTGCAGTTATCTTCTGAACCCTCCCCCTGCACTGTCACCAGAAGTAGGACATTACTCAGGGAAGCGGCAGCGGGGGGCGGGTGTACCTCCGAGTAGTCTCCCATGATATAGTTGAGGCGAGCCAGCAGCCGAAGGCAGGCACAGATTTCCACGTGCATAGCACCGTACACATTGTTAAACAAGTTTAAGGCTTCGTTGATGAGCTCACAGCCCTCCTTCACGAAACCTTAAAAAAAAAAAAAAAAAAAACAAACACCCACCCACAGGAAATTAGCTCTTGTGACATGCGAACCTGTGACCTCAATTTCCTTTCCTGTCACTATAAAGCAGGGAGAAGCCAGGAGAACTGAGACCCTGGGCTACTGTGTTACCCCTGAACAAGGGGAAGTCAAAACTCCTAATGCCCCAGGAAGAACAAAGTGTCATCCGTAAAGAGACAAACACGAGTGTCTTCTAGATCAGTGTTTCTCAACCAGTGGTACAAGTACTCTTAGGGGTACTTGAGAAGTTTTGGGGGTATGTCAACAACTGAAATTTGGAGAAAACGGAATTTTTGTTTTAAGTTTTACAGCGCTTTATTATTTTTGTACTTTTTATCGGAAAAAATGTAATCGCCTGCCTAGCTACGATTAAGTTGTTTAAACAAATGTGTTGCAATGGTAGAAAAAAAATTGTGTGTCTGAAAACTGTAGGTACTGGGGGTACTTTATTAAAAAAGGTGGAGAAATACTGTCCTAGATGGTTCAGGGAAACAGTCATGGGACATAGCTCTCAACCAATAGGACAGCAGCTCATGTTAGGACAGCCTGATTCTGCCTTGACTGTATTTTGGGTAAAGTCTAAAACAGCTCTAATCTCAGTGAGAGGTTAATTCAACTGCCTATTCATGATCTAGGAACCTATGTGGGATTGAAGAGATCTGAGAACAGTTTCATAGTCGGTGTGCCGCGAGAGGCAGGTGTCAATCCACTTTTCAGAGGTCCCATGTCCATCCCTGGTCGTTGTTGGTAGGAATGTGAAAGCGTAACCGAGTATGTGGTTACAAGCAGCTGCCTCCACCCCCGCTCTGCTGCCTCTGTGTCAGAGGTTACACAATTCCTTAAACGCATTTTCAAGTCCCTACGTGTTGGCCATTTGCACTCTGGGCCTGCTTCAGGGCTGGGCTTGGAGGCCACATTTTCCCCTCACCTCAAGCGGAACACCTGCTAGAACCGAATTCAGGCAGGATTGATGCGGTAGCGGGCCTGGCTGCACAGTGCCTGCACTCCAGCTGGGCAAAGCCAGGGCACAATGCAGCATCCCTAAGCCCTTTTCGGGAGCAGCGAGAGGCCCGGGTTCTAACACTACCTTGCTGGACCTTTGCTTGCCCGCTCTGAAAGAAGTGGAAAGCGTCCGAAGCTTTGGGGTTGACGTGCTTCACGACGGGGAAGATGTTGAGAATGTCCTCTTCTGTGAAGGTGGGTTTGTGCCGGTTATCGAAGTTGTATTCTTTCAACAGGATCTGAAGGAACCAAAAAAACAAAGCCAACGTTTTCCAGCTACTCTTCGTTGGCGAGGCTCTCTGAGCACTTCGCGGCTATCTGGGGCAACTGTAACCCTCTGCTGCACTTGTGTGACCCTAGGGAAGTCCACAGGGGCAACACAGGACAGAATCGGCGCTCCTGGTATGCTCCGCAACCAACTGCATGACAGGCAGATGTCCCATTCCCCAGACAGGTAATACTAAGGCACAGAAACAGGAAGGATTTTGCCCATGGTCACACCGTGTTGGTGGCAGAGCTAGGAACAGAATCTAGCCCTAAGAGCCAGACTGCACCCCTTTTCCATGCTGCAGAATCTAGGGGGAGGCAAATTCCTCTGGTTCAAAACAAGGCAGGCCAGCAGCTTTGGCTGCCAGGTCAGACAGATGGACGTTTATTTTGGACTCCGCAGAAAGGCTGCGAAGTCTGGTCACCCTCACTCGAGATCCTTTCCTGAGGGAGATGTTTATGTCACTTCCATCCTCTCTCTCTAGGTGCCTATGCCTGAGGTGTGCATGGCCCTTCACAGACAAAGAATGACCCGGCCAGAAGAGAGCTTAGAAGCACCGTCAGACTTAAAACACAGCCCAGGTGACACAAGGTGAGGGGAGGGTGCCAGGCAACAACAGAGACACCCATGGGAAGCGTTAACATGCACACTGTTAGCTGCCCATCAGATTCTGTTTTTAAAATTGGTTGATGTAGGAAAATGTGGGGATAGTGTCATGAAAAAGGGCCAGGGCGCGGGTCAGCAAGAGACGGCTGACTTCTTGAAGGCTCCTAGCAGCAATCTGATCCCTGAAGTAGCAGCAGGCTGGAGGTGCTGAACCCAGGGTCATGCCAGCACTTGCTTTATCCACTCCCACCCTCAGGGTGGTATAGCCCAGGAGAAGATGCCCATCTGAGCTGAAGCGTGGCACAAAAGCTAGAAAGGGGAGCCATTTGTTTTCAGTAAGGCCAGCATCGTCCGGCTTCATAAGGCAGAATTTCAAGCTATTCCCCTTAGCACCACTGGAGTCACTTGGTATTGCGCAGGGCTATTTGGCTAGACCACGGTTCCCCACCTATGAGTTGGGACCCAAATATGGGTCGCCATTACATTTCTAAAGGGTCGCCAAGGGTCTCCACAGGTGGCTCTACCCCCTCCTTCCCCTGTTTTTGAATTGTCTTGGGTCACCAAGTCTTCCTGAATTGTCAAAATGGGTCCCCATCTGGAAAAGGTTGGGAACAGCTGGGCTAGACAAAGGACTTATCAGATGGGAGCAGGACCAATCTCCTTGTGGGCTAGAACTGGCATTTCAGCCCTTGAGCCACGGGAGGAGTGAAGGGCCAGGGAGGGGAATCATCTTTTGAAAGACCTCCTGGAATGACTCGCCAAATGCTGCCCCTTTGAGGAAGCGGTGAAGGAAAATGGGAGGATTAGGATCTCACCTGGATTCCAGTTTTGAGGGAGATCTCGCGTAGAAGGGTGATTTTCTGAAGGTTATACATCTCAGCTGCTTGGTCAACATTCTCACTGAAAAAGAGTGAGGCGAGAGCTTGGGGTAAGTTTATCCTCAAAAGTATCCACCAGGGTGTACCTGAGTCATTCCTCCTAGTATAGTTAGGGGCTAGTCAACAAAGGTGGTGGAACGAAACATCAGCGAGCAAGGGGATTTCTGGGGGAAGCTCCACAATTCTGGGTGTACCTCTGCAGGTTTACATCAGCCCTATATGCATCTTTTCCCTTCCCCCGCTTTAAGTGGTTGTGACAGGGCTGCTGGATTCAGCCTTTTCCTCGTGTGGTAAAATCTCAAGTTTCTCTGATTCAAGAGAGAACTGTGAATGCAACTACCTAATCAGGACTTAAATCTTATGGGATTTTTGGTTTTGTTTTGAGAAAAGCTCTTGTTCATTCGGAATGTCAGTTCAGTGTTTTACTCCTCTTGCCTTACTGGGAACCTCTTCATTTCGGGGTCTAGCTACGATTTACCCTTGTTTTTAGGAACATCCACTCCTGCCGGACTCGAGGCCATGAAATCTCTGCGCATCTCGTGCTGGATTTTTGTCCCCGCTCTTACCCTTGACATCGCTGCCGCTGTAGCTTGTGCAGTCTAAACCAACCTTCATGGGTATCTCTGCCGCCTGATTTGAGCGCCTTTAAAATTTCACCTGTAACCCTAAGTCACTCAACACCACGTCTGCCTTTGTTTCTCCCCATCTGCTACATTGGCCTTTTGTAAGTCTGATTCCGACACGTAAGGGACTTTATAGACAATACAGGCACCGTTCGCAATAAAGCTACTGGTGCTGGGAGAAAGAGACATCCGGCAGAAGAAGGGGAAGCGAAGATAAATCAGTCTACTCACCATTCCAGATTAAAATCAAAGTAGTTCTTTGCATCGGAACAAATATTCTTCCAAAGCTCGTGAGGGGTCATGCTGGCCCATGCCGTGTTATCAGCATTCCCAAGGTTCCTGTTTTTCCTTTTCTTATTCTTCTTCTTGGAAGCCAGCTCATCAGCCGGGAGATGGGCAACTGGATTCAGGAAGGAGCTCAGGAAGCAATTGAGGAAATGACTGATGGCTGCCGACAAGCCTGACAGCTCCACACCCTGCAGTAAGATACAGAGGTCAGTGGTGGAATCTTTTTTTCCCCCGTGTTCCACATGCATCCCTCTGAGCCAACACTCAAGCAAATTCAGTGCCATACGTACGGCAAATATCAGGGTGCCTGACAGATGGAAGGTCTGCTAAGACAGGATGTCTCACAGCAACCAAATATGCATGCATGAAGGGGCCACAGAAAGTCACGCCGAGTTTCTGGCTAGGTCTACACTACAAAGAAAAGTCGGAAAAAGTTACGCAAATTGCGTATCTTTTTCTTCTTTTCTGCCGAACGAGGCTTTTCCAACATATGGACCGTCTACACAGGGCCAAATGTCGGTTAAAAAAAAACCAAACCCTCTTTTGGAACATCCCTTCTTCCTCATAAAACAAGGTTTACACAGATGCCGACAAAATGAGTCCGCTTTTCTGACATTTTTTCAGAAAAACAGACGCGTTCCTTGGACGTGGCAGAGTTTTTCCAGGATACCGTGGTTTCCCAGAAAAGTCTTAGGCTGAACATATTGCCAGGATTATGTTGCTTACAATTTTCATCACATTGCGCAGGTGGAAATGAGTTCTCAGCAGTTTCCCCGTTCTGGAGCCCCTCCTGCAGGACTAGGACAAGCACCACCCCCAATTTCAAACAGTGATTTCTAAAGCCAGAAATGTCTGCTATTTTGGCATCCAGGAAACAATTTCACCATTCACACTAATACAGGTGTTCATGTGTAGTGTATCAATGTGTTATTAAATAATAACTGAATAAAATAATATTAAATAAATAATTAAAAACAACATCCATGTTTTGATTGTTTTTTATTTGGACCTCAAGTGTGTAGTCGGCCCCCGAACTGCTGTTTGATAGTAAATGCGGCCCTCGGGCAGAAAAGTTTGGAGACCCCTGGTCTAGACGTAACCCTCAGTAAAATGTCAAAAAGGGCAGAGTGAGGGAGAATGAACAATTACTTGGGATCTGTAGACTAGCACGTAGAATGCTTTTACACAGACTTTTCTGGCTTCTGGAATACAGCCAAACGCATTGTTCCATATCCTAGAGTTCATGTGATAAACAAGCATCTTCGGAGGTCAAAAGAATTACTACTGCTTGCGTAAGCAGAGTAAGTGTTTCACAGGCAAGACAAGTTGTGATTTCACTCTAAAAAGCCTTCAGTGTAATCAGTGAAATTCTGGGGCAGAAAACCATGAATGATAGTCCACGGGGAGTGCTTTCTTCGAGTGGGAACTTGTTTTCCACTGTCCCCAGATTGGTACCTACATTAGGCTTAATGAGATTGTACTTCTAGTTGCTAGGCAACATTCATGAACTAGCTAAGGAGAAAACAGATTTAAACAGCTTCTATTTCTTGGGGAAAAAGATGTTAATGAGAACAGCCCACAGCAAGAGTTCAGACCGCCGCTCGTACCTGAAGGTATGTCTTGAAGATGTGTTTGGCTGATCGAGTGATCAATTCGCTGATCCCAATTTTCTGTCCAAAGGAGTAAAGAGCAGGGATAAAGGAAGTCAACAGAGGGGAGAACACTGAGCACACATCTTGCTTTTAGATGCATTTTGAGCCATGCCGACAGAAAGCTCAGCTCTGCAAACATTACTACTGTGGAGCTGTACCACACACTGCAAACGAGGCTGTAAACTCTCAGGATCCAGGAGCTCTTGTTTCAGGAGGGGAGGGGTAGCACAGGGGCCCCCAATCCTTGGCCGGGACTTTTCAGAACTACAACATCCCGATGGGACATTCAAGGCACAATGGAGGATCTCAGGGATGATCTAGACGGTGCTTGGTCCTGCCGTGAAGGCAGGGGACTGGACTTTATGACCTCTCTAGGTCCCTTTCAGGTCCAGTGTTCTACAATTGTGCTCACTATTCTATGTGAGCCAAGGAAGCAGAATCGGGCCCCAGAGAAGCCTGACCCATCGCAGGTAACAGCCTTTCCACTGAATCCAGGGCTCCTCTGGGCCATCGCATGTCTGGGAAAACACAGCTTCCCCTGGACCAATCGGCAATGCCTTTTCCCCCAAAGTGCTTTGCGGACCCTCAGGGCCTCCATTCGCCCTGACCCTAATGAAAACTGAAACGTGAGAGTGAAACCTTCCTCCAGTACCCCCACCTCCCCTGCAAATCAAAGGCTTTTTCCATTTGGTTTGCCAGCCCAGCTGTTTATTTCTACACGGCGGTCGATGGAATGCAATTAGCCGAGTTGGAGCTGGGCCAGGCGCCTTTCTCCCAATGGCCTTGAGGCGCCCAAGCGGAGACTTACATAGACGTGATCCAGCTGTGGGCGGGCGGGGGTCTTGGCGATGAAGTCGACGACTTTGCCTAGGTAGCGCATGTTGATGCCCCTCTGGTGCATGGCCTCGGCCAACGTGGCGCCGTCCATCGGGAGCACCGTGTGGTCCAGGCAGTCTTTCACCTGCAGAGCACGTGGAGTTTAGGGGAAAGGAGCCACTGGCCTAAGGGGGGCTCTTTGAGCCACAGGTTCAAACGTGCCCAGCACCCATTCGCTCTCATAGCCCTATTCCTGACGGGGCTCCCGGGACCTCTTGCTGGATTCACAGGAGTGAACCCTTCCTCTGCTTGGGATTCAGATACAGAGCGTGCACATGCATGGCTGAAAGAACAAGCTGGATCAGGGGACGTTATGCCAACACACACGGTCAGGAGCGGCTTACCCAACCTCCTGCAAGTGCGAACCTACGAACGAAGGGAGAAACAAAAGTTCTTCCCTTCTGTAGCCAAGAGGGGAGATCACCACAGTCCCCATGCTCTCCCCCAATGTTCCCTTTCATTTTTTCCATCCATGTGCAGAAACAATTTTGTTCTGTGAACCGAGGTAAGTGCAGAGGTGCACCACCAGCAGAAACACATGCTGCTGCTCATCGGCTGGGCAACACCGAAATCTCTCTTAGGAGGCTACCCAAGTGCACAGCTTACAGGGAACACTGCTCTCTACACATCACAAGGGATTGGACCAACACAATGAGGTGGGCGGGAGCAGGATGCGTGTTTCTAGTGCTGGCAAACGGAAGCTGAGAAGCACAACCAAGAATGCCAGTGTAAATGCGCCTCCTTGAGCTTTAAATATATTGATGCAAGTTACCGTCAGACATTGAGAATGGGTGGGAAGTGTGTACACAGCAGTTCTAGCCACGTTTGTCACCTCGTCTCCCTCCACTCCCACAATTGTGTAGTATTTTTTAATCTCTAGTTACGCTAAATATTCTACCTAGGAAAAAAATTGTGCTCATCCCATTTTTTTGACTGTGGTGTAAGAGGGAAGGGCTGATTTGAAGGCTCTCTATTTGAAGAGGAGAGTTTTGGGTCTTGAGGGTTATGATGAATACTGACTCAGCGACATGACGACATCAAGGCATGTGAAAGCCAAGCAATTTTTTTTGGTATGGGAAGAGATTTTCATTCACTGTTTATTTCCTGCTTAGTCAATGCCAGTGACTAACGAACACGTTGGAGCAAAGATAGCTTTGCAGATTCATCACCTCTACCCATCTATTACAGCACACAAGTACCTGCCTTCCCAACATGCCTTCAGGAAAACAGGAAACAGCAGCCCTTGTCACTCCAGATATTTCTTCCATTAAAAACCAGAAAGGTCTTAAAACAAAAATCACCCCTAGCAAAAAAAAGAGGGGCACAACCCTAGCTTGTTGTTAGGTTGTGGGATTGTTGTTTAAGTCGGTCTCAATACATGCAGGGTGAGCGTACAGAATGTTTTTACTGCTGTATACAGTATATTTCTACACGGCTCTCTCTGCCACATTTAGTTATTATTCAGACGCGCCTGTCCGCAGACACGACATAGTCCGTGTTTAAACCATGCCAATGAAGCAATCTCCGGCCCTGGCTGCATTGGAGTAATCCAATAGCTTGGTTTCATTTGTAATTTCCATGAGACTATAGGAAAATTATTTTACAGTTTCAGAAAATGGCAGGAGGGTGAATTTTCTCTACACATAAGGAACATACTTGACAGTAAGGGCAACTGATGGACTTCCCAAGGGAATCTAGTCACCAGCAGATTCAAAACTGGGACAGATTACACAGGGATGGCCAGGGTCAGTCCGGGTGATCTGCAATGCTGTGTCAGCTACATGGCATTTATTAGCTTAATCTCTTACTCAAGATTTGAATCAAGATTTCTTTGTTCTGTGGCACATTTCCCTTCTGAAGAGGAGGCTCCAACAGACAAAAAGTGCCTCTTCTCCTTGCACCACCAGAGACGTTTACATTGTTCTTTGTGCTTCACAACTTCCATTTGCCTGCACTAGAATCCCACCATTGTTTAAGATGAGAAATAACGGCACAGCTGCGTTGACTGGCCAGATTTGACGCAGGAGATCAGCACGGCCCCCCAATTCCTTACCAGGCCGGGGACTTGGCATGACAGTAAGAAAGCAGCAGCATCCTTTAGTAACTGCTTCTGATCCTGCACTTCCTCTCTGCTGGACTCGGGGAAACGGACACCTAGGAGGGAAATGGAAGGACAAGAAAAAAAAACCTGAATTCACAAAATCACCCTAATGGAGCAGGTGACACTAAATGGAAGTGCTTTTGCCCTTTCCTGCTTTAAAGATGCTCTTTAAGACCTATCACATCTGCTGGAATAAGCACGATCCATGCTGTGCCTGTTAGAGGCCCCTTTGCTTGGTTTTTTACTCGCTCATTCTTTTACAATGGAAACTATGCCTGTATTGGTCTGGTACGTTCCATCTGTTCCCAAGTGCTTTGCACATTTACAGGGCTAAAGTGGAATCAGTGAAATCAGAGACGGCATCTTTTGTCAGAAGGATCGACAAATTTTGCAAGCCCTACAAGTTCCTTAAACCCTTCCATTAGATGGACTTGGGTTAAAATAGCCTCCTCTAAGCTGCCATCCCATGCCAAGTCAGCAAGTCTTCACCATCAGCATTAAAAAGGAGCTTGTGTATTTCAGCTGAATGCTGCTTCGACCACATTTATAGCCAGGTCAAGATATTGGGTCACACTCTGCTTTCGACTGTGTGCGCGCAGCTCCGGTTTCAGACCACAGGAATCGTCACTTCCCCCCCAAAGAGCATCCAGGAAGCATTTCCAGCACCTCACTTGTAATTTGGCCACCTCGGTGCGGACGTGCTGTGATCAGCTGACAGCAAGTCAGGGAGGTTTTGTTTGTTCAGAGGCTCAAATGTCCTTGCACCGCAACCCTCTTCTGGCACCCAAAATTACGACACGACCCCAGAAGGGGCCTGAGCCAGACTGCCCCAGGTGGGGGAGGATGCCAACAGAGCCCTGCCGCCCACTGGGCAATATGGCACAGCCGTTGGCTTCAGTCTGTGCCGCAGAAAATCTACTGCCAGCTCTGACAGCCCCTTTAAAACAGCGCTGCGGCCCACTCCGGGGTCTCAAGTGTGGCAAGCAGTTGCATCGCTCCGCGCAATGGGGAGAAACCACCTCCGGCCCCCACGCCTTTTAGCCAGCACAAAAAGGGAGCCCAGCGGACGCCGCTAGACTCCAAGCCGTTTCCAGGCCACCTCTGTGAGCCCCTACCTGGCGAGAAGATATCCGGGTTAAACCGGATGTCAAACGACGTGCTGCTGATGGAGCCCACGGCTTTGCAGGCGTTTTGAATCACCTCTCTGCTTTTGGGGTCCACTGGGTAAAGAAGGAGACAGTCAGACTTGGTAAAGAGCCAGGAAAAAGGCTGTTGATGGAATCTGCATTACATGAGCAGGCATTAAAAGCACGAGACACGTTTTATCAGGGAGGAGGGAGGCTGTTGCTTTGCAAAAGGCCCCTGAAAAGCATTTGGCAGCGCGCTGCTATTCGGGGTACAGGCACAGACCACAAAATCCAGATGGGGCACAGAATGCGGTAGGGACCGGGCGTCTGGCCACTGCAAGGACCGCTGAGACTTCAGCGGGAGGCCCAATGCCTCTTGATTTCAGGTGGGATTCAGGTGCTTCTCCCCCTAACCCCATTGCAAATACTCGCCTGAGTGCACCACAGCCACGGCCAAGATATTCCTAACAAGCGCCACAGCGGGGAGACCACTTGTGCCAAACGGTTCGATCTTGTGTTCCCTGTGATGCTGCCCCTGACCGGACGAGCTTGGCCTAGCTCGAAAGCCTGGCGCTCTTCCCAAAAGAAGTGGGTCCAATGAAAGAGAGTACCCCCCCCGTGTGTGTGAGAGAGTGAGAGTGAGAGTTTTCAGCGGCAGGGAAAGCACACAAGGCAGCCAGGTCTAGTGCCCCCAAACAGGGAACAGACCAGAGACTCCCACGTTCCAATCTGAGCGCTGACAGACTCTCACTGTGCAGCAGTGCTGATAAACCCTGGCCAGGCGCATCGCGAACGTTAAGCTGCCGGTGCTCGAGGAGTGGCATGTAAATGCTAACATGCCAATGCTGGAGAGGAAGGCTGGGTGACGGCCCAGAGCCATTTGCCATGAGCCGCCCACTTGAAGCCATTCTAACCCGTGACCCTGTGCAAAAGCTGCTGCCAAGAGCGTGGGCCGGTTTCGGTGCGTGGGTACCTGCTCCATCATCGGACGCGATGGTCTCCGCCAGCTCCTTCACCTGATCCAATCCCGCCACGTTCTCCTCCGGTTTACCGTCGTCAGATTCCGATTTCTCGCTCCCCTCTGTTCCATTCTCGGTGGGGGCCCCGTTTTCCAGCAAGCCAGCGTGTTCCTGCTTGGTGGCCTTCTGCTGCATCAGCTGCAAAGCTGCCAGCTTCATGAATAAGAGATACCTGAAGGAGAGGAAAGGCGAGAGCTCGCTGAACACTGCGCTCAGCAAAACAGGCCTTGACAGCCGGATGGGGGGACTATCCCAAAGGCTCGCGCTCTCTCGCCAACAGGCATAAGACCACAGTGGCTAAAAGGGGACCATCTGAACCAGGGGTGTAAAAGGTTAACTGGTATGCACATACCCTATAGGCATGCTGACCAGGTAACTGGCAGGCCGCCCCACCCGCACCGAGTGGTTAAGCATTGAAACAAATCATTTAACTGGTTAACAATTCTGAGCGGTTTCTACATCTCGAATCGCAGTCCTGTAAGGGCACGTTCGAGCCCCCATCTCAGAGTACAACACATGGGCACAGACCATCCGCGAGCTCACTGACTAGGCGCATCCATTACGGGTGGGAGGTGCTGCTTTGCTCACTAGCCAGGGATGTAACTCCCTGCAGTAGGAACGTTGCTGTCTGTGGCTTGCTGCAGGACACAGCGCAGGGATGGCCCCACACGTCTCCAACGTCTGACCTCAGAAGGCCCAGGAGCCCTGGGCTGCTACAAGACCAGCAGCAGCATTTACCTAAGACCCTAACGGGGTTTTACAAGGGTCAGTGACCTGCAGGATCCTGAAGTCATGCCACCCCCATACTGCTGGCCTGGCAGGGCTGAAGCCAAGCCGGTACGGATGCGCCAGCACTGGGCTAGCAGGGCTCTAGCAGCAGCAGGAAGTGGGGCTGGCGACTCAGCCGGTGGGGCTGCTGCGGAAGTCAGTGCCTCAGCAGCATCTCAGCCCAGCAACAGGGCGAGGGGCGCGCGGTTAGGGACGGCCAGTGAAATCCAGACTCTGGCCACGTGTGGCGACTTGAGTCTCCCACGGCTGCCGGGCAAATGTCGGAAAGTGAACCCATGTCACATGGCAGCTCAGTCGTCCCCAGCCTCCTGCAGTCACCACAGGATATGGTGTCCTTGTAGGATCCCTCAACTCAACAGCATGCCACATCAAGCAACTGCTAAGGTCCACACTAAGGGCAGGTGCCATGAACCTTGGGTATGCACATAACCCTCTCTTGCTTCCAGGGAGCATCTAAAGGGCCTGAGATCCTCAGAAGAGGCTTATGACTCAGACAATGAATGTGCAGGACGTCTTTGGGGGAAAAGGGGAAAGAGCTGGAGATTAAAACCAAGGCACCCTTCCCACTTCCCAGAACTTGTTCAGAAGCCCCATTGTTTTCAATCGCTGACTAGGTTTCTATAACTTCACGATAAGAGTTTTCAAGGACCTACAAGGGTGTTGCGAGGAGGAGGAAATGTGAAATTGCAGAACTATTAACTGTGGTTTGTAACCTATTCTTTGAATCAGCTTCTGTACCCAATGACTGGAAACAGCTAATGTGACGCCAATATTTAAAAAGGGCTCTAGAGGTGATCCTGGCAATCGTAGAACAGTAAGTCTAACAGCAGTACCAGGCAAATGAGTTGAAACTATAGTAAAGAATAAAATTGTCATAGATGAACAGAATTTGTTGGGGAGAAGTCAACATGGTTTCTGTAAAGGGAAATCATGCCTTACTAATCTACTAGAGTTCTTTGAGGGGGTCAACAAACATGTGGACAAGGGAGATCCAGTGGATATAGTGTACTTAGATTTCCAGAAAGCTTTTGATAAGAGCCTTTGGTGAGGTTTCTTAAGTAAAGTAAGTTGTCATGGGACAAGAGGGAAGGTCCTTTCATGGACTGATAACTGGTTAAAAAACAGGAACAAAGGGTAGGAATAAATGGTCAGATGTAAGTAGTGGGGTCCTCCAAGCGTCCATACTGGGACCAATCCTATTCAACCTATTTATAAATGATCTGAAGAAAGGGGTAAACAGTGAGGTGGCAAAATTTGCAGATACCAAACTGCTCAAGATAGTTAAGACCAAAGCAGACTGTGAAGAGCTTCAAAAAGATCTTGTAGGTGACTAGGCAACAAAGTGGCAGATTAATTGTAATGCTGATAAAGGTAAAGTAACACACATTGGAAAAATAATCCCAACTCTACATACAATATGATGGGGGCTAATTTAGCTACAACTACTCAAGAGAGAGATCATGGATATGCTGGTATTAGAAAAGGTTCAGAGAAGGGCAACTAAAACGATTAGGGGTTTGGAACGGGTCCCATATGAGGAGAGATTAAAGAGACTTGGACTTTTCAGCCTGGAAAAGAGGAGACTAAGGGGGATATGACAGAGGTCTATAAAATCATGAGTGGTGGGGAGAAAGTGAATAAGGAAAAGTTATTTACTTATTCCCACAATATAAGAACTAGGAGCCACCAAATGAAATTAATGGGCAGCAGGTTTAAAACAAATAAAAGGAAGTAGTTCTTCACACAGTGCACAGTCAACCTGTGGAACTCCTTGAGGAGGTTGTGACGGCTAGGACTATAACAGGGTTTAAAAGAGAACTAGATAAATTCATGGAGGTGAAGTCCATTAATGGCTATTAGCCAGGATGGGTAAGGAATGGTGTCCCTAGCCTCTGTTTGTCAGAGGGTGGAGATGGATGGCAGGAGAGAAACGGCTTGATCATTACCTGTTCAGTTCACTCCCTCTGGAGCACCTGGCATTGGCCACTGTTGGCAGACAGGAACCTGGGTTGGATGGACCTTTGGTCTGACCCAGTATGGCCATTCCTCTGTTTCTGAGTCATTGTGGATAGTTCTCTGAAAACATCCACTCAGTGTGCAGCAGCAGCAGTCAAAAAAGCAAACAATGTTAGGAATCATTTAAAAAGGGATAAAGAATATGACAGAAAATATCTTATTGCCTCTGTATAAAACCATGGTACGTCCACAACTTGAACACTGCATGCAGATGTGGTTGCCTCATCTCAAAAAAAAAAAAAAAAAAAAAGACATTGGCATTGGAAAAGGTTCAGAAAAGGGGGGAAAAAAAAGATTAAGGGTTTGAAGCGGGTGCCTTATGAAGAAGAATTAAAAAGACTGGGACTTTTCATCTTAGAAAGAGGAGATTAAGGGAGGGATAGGATGTGGAAAAAATGAATAAGGAAAAGTTGTTCACCAAAATAAATTAATAGGCAGCAGGTTTAAAATAAAATAAGTTTTTCTTCACACAGCGCAACTCTGCCTGTGGAACTCCTTGCCAGAGGAGGTTGTGAAGACCAGGACTTTAACAGGGTGTAAAAGAGCTAGATAAATTCATGGAGGTTACGTTCACCAATGGCTATTAGCCAGGATGGGTAGGAATGGTGTCCCTAGCCTCTGTGAGGGGCTGGGAATGGGTGATGGGAGAGGGATTGCTTGATGATTCCCTGTTCTGTTCACTCCCTCTGGGGCATCTAGCATCGGCCACTGTTGGAAGATGTGATATTGGGCTGGATGAATCTTTGGTCTGACCCACTATGGCTATTCTTATGAGGGAGAAAAATTGCTGCTTGTCCAATCCTCAGAGGTCAAGAAGAACAAGGGGCTTAAATTGCAGCAAGGGAGGTTTAGGTTGGACAGGAGGAAAAAACTTCCTGTCCGGGTGGTTAAACACGGGAATAAATTACTTAGGGAGGTTGTGGAATCTCCATCACTGGAGACAGTTAAGAGCAGGTTAGACAGACGTCTCTCAGGGAGGGTCTAGACAGTGCTTGGCCCTGCCGTGAGGGCAGGGGGCTGGACCTGATGACCTTAAGGTCCCTTCCAGTTCTAGGATTCTCTGATTCTAACTGCCCCTGAGGGCTGGGGAGAAAAATAAATTAGCTGCCCCATCATGGAAGTTGCTGCGATGCAGGTGCCGTGTCTCTCGAACAGCTGCTTGCGTTCCAGCCTCTTTTGAGGTCACCCAGCAGGGAGAGGGGAAAGGGAGGGAAGTCTCCTCAGCTCACCTGTGCTCTACAAACGCGTCCACCAGCTCCTGCCGGAGACAGCAGAGCTTGTGTCGGTGCTGCTTGGGGAACCCCATTTTCTGACACTCCTCTGGCATCTCCTCCCCGTCGATCGGCAAAAAGTTCAGGTCAGGGGGGAAGGTGCGCAGCAAGTCGAGGATGTAGTGGCGCCCGTCGTTGCCGATGATGCCTTTGCACTCTACGGACGAGCACAGCTCCACCTCCTCGTTCTTGTCGTTCAGAACCTTGTGCTTCTGGATCTTGAGGGGCCGGCTGGTCTTCTCCAGCAGCTCCAGGTACTTGGGGTGAGACACAACGGTCTTGCCAAAGTCTATTGACCCGTAGATGACGCTCTGCTCCTGCTCTCGCTCCAAAATCCCTGGAATAATGGACTGTGCCGTTACCCTGTACCCCCTGTAATCCACCACCACGGTCCCCAATGTGTACAGCCCCTCAACGTCCACTGCGTTATAGGTCCGCACCCCGTTGAGGTCGTTGGTGGGCGCCACGTAGGCGGCGACATCCCCACCGAAGTCTTTGTAGTGGTCGCGGACATCGAAGCCCAGGCTGAAGAAAATGTTGTTCCAGATGAACATCTGCATCTTGGTCTCCTCGCTGGGATTGATGGCCATGACGTTGCCGTCGATGACGGCCATGGCGCCTCGGGTAGCCGCCGCCGTGAAGTCACTGTGGACCTGGAAGTGGGTGGGGGAGGGGAGCATGAAGGCAGGAGAAAAAACTGTTCATTACCCACGTACTCCTAACTCCTGCCATCTGCTCAACCAACACCTCACGATTATCTGAGGCAAACAGCCAGGTTAGGTGGCTTTCGCCCTTGCGAGTCTGGCTAATACTAAAGATGCCAAATTGCTTACCGACATGTCCCAGTTTCTTTCGCTTGGCCACTTGGGATGCTACAGTAGGATGGCACCTGACTGACTTGGTCAGGAGATAATCCCCAACCCACCCACCTTGTTGAACATCCTCCCACCCCGGCCCTGTGTGAGCGAGGCAGCCTGGCATGAAGCAGCACCACTGGCGAGAAGCCTGTGTCACTGCAGGCAACATGAGCAGCTGAGGAGAACGAGTCTCCTCCAGCAGCTTGGGAGATGGGGAAGAGATGAAGACCAAGCTCCTGACCCGCATCTTAGAAGCTTCCAGCAAAGCATCTGTGCTTATAAAGATTAAGCCACAGAGCCGAGTGAAGCTCTCAGTCAAGCCAGGGTGGGTCTCTAATTAGACTGAGAATGGATTATCTATGGTTTGCGACTAACACCCCCCCCCCCCCAATCTGCCTCAAGATTACCTTGAAAATGGCTCGTTCTCTCAGCAGCCTCTCGGGCAGATTTTTGCGTGGTAGCTCTCGTGTGGTTTGTAGCTCCTCGTTCCAGTCTCTGGTCTGAAAGGGGCAAGCCTCGAGTCAAACTGGGTAAGGGGGAAGTCGGTACTTATAGGTAAAGAATCGTAGCCTTCACGGAGGTCGTGGAAGTCACATGACTTCCAGTGAGCTCCATGACTTCAATCTCGGGGTTCTCTCAGAACTCAAGGATTGCTCAGAACTCCTAGCTGTCAGGTCCCCTGTACCTTCCAGGGCTGCTGAGCCTCCGAGGCCCACAGGTGGGGAGAGCTGCCAGAGATCCAAGCAGGACCACAGCTACTCAGCTGCGAGGGTTGATGCGGGGTCCCCATGCCAAAACTCCCCATTTTGTCACACATTTTAGTAAAAGTCAGACAGCACATGGACTTCTGTGATTTTTTTCCTTGATTGCCTGTGATCCCTCCGTGACTTTTACTAAAAATATCCATGACAAAGTCTTAGCCTCACTTCTAGTTTGCGAGCTAGTTTGCAGGAATTTATCCCCTACTCCAGATCAGAAAGACAAAGGAAGTCCGACCCACGTGCCATTTCGAAAGAAATTTAGCAGCCACAGCAGGCTCACAAACAAAGTTCATTTAAACCGCCAACTGTGGCGGATCTTCCATTGTCCAGTTACCCAGTGCAGCTTACCTGGAATATCAACAGAAGGTCTGATGTGGTGGGACGCTGAATTTAATTAGCCAGTGTGCTCCAATTTAACTATGTTAGAAATGGGCAGAGAACACGGATATTTCACTACCCCAGAAATGTTCAACGCTCTTAGGGCTGAGCCAGCAAGCGCGGTGGCTCTAACCCCTCCGGGCTATTTCAAGAGAAGCAGGCAGAGCTGTCTTCTGAAAGAGAACCAGCCGCTCATTTAGGTCCTGCACTTGCAAGGAGTTCTGCCGAAGCTTAATGTTGTGCACCCAAAGGAGTTGTGTTGCCTTTGGTGGGGTCACTCCCAATGAGTGAGGTTGAACATGGGTGAACACCCCTTTGCAGGATCAGAGCCTGAACCTTAAAGAAAACCCCACACACGCTGCAAGAGACTTGGAGAGAGGCAGGGCTAAGTGATGAGATGAGCAGCAAGAGAACCGTGGAACAACAGGAGGCAGATTTAGCGGTTGGAGCAGCCGCTCGACTGTTGGGAGGCCTGGCTCCAGGAGACACCTTGCACGGACACTTGCTGCTTCGTGCCTCCGCAAGGTGAGGATGTTAATTCTCCCCCTGCATCACCTGGATGCCGGGAAGTTGCTATTCCTCAGCAAGCAATTCGCAGTTCTTTTTATGAAAGGCACTAACAGCACCACCACCACCAGCAGCTGTACAGAGGGCAGCCAGATATACCTGTCCAGGTATGTGCTCTTCATAGCCCAGCCTTGACGTATAAGCATCTTCTGCCCTCACACAGTCCATGGCGTGCTCAGCCTGGGGTGCCGTCCAGCTGTACACCTGGAAGGGGGTGGCTATCCTTTCAAAGGGGTGCCGCTGAACCCTAGGCAGGAGTTCACAGCCATCAGATCATTTCCACTAAAGGGAGCTTTTGATTTGGAAAAACAAAAAAACCCACAAGAATTCTCCTCCCCCACAAAAACCCGTCCACAAGAGCCAACATCAGTCCTATCAAGCTCAGCCAAGGTCATCGGATCTGGACCTCTGCTCGGACGTGGTCACATCTTTACAATTGGCTTAAAGCCCAACAGCAACCAGGAGAATAAACCAGGTACATTGGATTCAGTCTTGCTCTTGGGACCAATCTAGTGTTTGGAGAAAGCTCTCCAGCTGTGCCTCCCTGCCCTTACAGCTGTGTTAATTCAAGTCAGTTCTCTCTGCTGGAGCTAGGATCACGCCCAGGCCCACATGGCTTGCTGTTATAAAAATATAGAGTATCCGTCAGTGAAGCGGAAAAGCAAGCTTCACCTAATGGCCTTTTGTGTAGCTTCGCTGCTCGCAGCAGGTGTCAAAATTGCATCTGTACTCATTTCTGACTCAACAGGCAACAGACTAATCATTTTTTAAATGGCCAGATAGTCACAGTGGCGGGTTTCAGGCCACGGCTAATTTCTAGCTTTCGTGTAGTGTCACTTTCGTCTCTTTAATGAGACCAGATGTAGGATTTTTGAAAGCCGTAAGTGTGCCTGTCAATTTATACCCTGCAGAGCTCAGGCAGTTCATTAAGTGGACTCTCCAAAGAGTGACAGGTTTTGTTTGGAAGCAAAGCAAGTGGGTCCCTGCAGCAAGGACAGGGTTATGAAATAATTAGTGAGTATAATAATAAAAAAAAAGCACATTACATATAATTACCGGAAAGTCACATGCATGTGTGTCTGCAGTTTGTAACGAACAGGAGAATCGTTATTTTAAGCAAAATCACGGCGTGATACTTTTCCTCATATTACACTGGGCTTCAGTCTTATTTCTTTATGCAAGAACGCCCATTGATAAGGGCTATTAAGTACTGTTACGGAGCTCAATTATGCTTTACACATTAACTCTTAGGTGCCTGGCTTGGGGTGCCAATCACAGTAAGATATTTGCTTCAGATCACGCAAACAACTGCAGATTTCTGAGGGCATTTGTTCCTTCAGTTCCACCCTTACTGAAGGCCCCACGAAAAAAAAAAAAAAAAAGGTGTCCCTTTCCCACCCATTTCCCCAGAGCCCACCCTCATACACAAGCATAGATGTTCAATTTCTGATCAGTGCCGTGACAAGAAATTTAGAATTCCAGCCATAATGCAGGCCTATAAGAAGATACTGAAGCTAGTACTACATCTCCTGTAAAAAAGTTACATCCTTCTCAATTTATGTGGCAGCCACTCATGTTCACATGCTCTCCAAGTGGGCTGTCTAATGGTTTTTGGAAAAACTATGAAGGGAATTAGGTGTCAGGAACCTGGGTTCCATAAACAGCCCTGTCACTGTTTTGCTAAGTAACCCAGGGCAAATCACGTCAGTTCTGCACCTTCGCTTCCCCACCTGAAATGAGGATTTCAATACCTACTTCACAGAAATACCATGGGATTTAAGGATTTGTAAAAAAGCTTGGAGATCTTGCTACAAAAATGCAAAGTTTCAGCTAATGTCCAGTCAGCATTCCCCAGATCTGAATGAAGCAGATGTTGCAGTCAACACCTGGCTTCAAGAGACAAAACAGCATTATCCAATCCCTTAAACAGTATCTGAGCCTCACACCAAGCAACGCCACCAATTGGAACACCCAAGGCAGCTCAACAAAATGCTGTTGCTACCGTTTCTTCTGCAGGGCCGAGAAGTTTTTTTTGAAGGTCGGGCTGATCTGGTTAAGAAGTTCCACCAGGGAGTGACTGAGAAAACTGGGATTGGCAGGTTTAGGGTTGAAATTGTAAGCGGTCGACCTGCAAAAAGAAAGATGTTCTTGTTAAGATGGTTAGGCAATAAATCTTGCCTGCAGTCAGTCAAGCCACCATCAGATTTAATGGGGTTAGGTTTTCCCTTCCCAGCTTGAAGGGTGGATTTCACAGAGCAGGGCTTCTCAGCGTTCTGATCACATGGGCCACCTCTTAACAGACCTCTCCACCCTCAGTGAGGAAGACTTGTCCTCCCCGACCCACTCACAGCTCTTTCATGGAACACTCAGACAAGAAATGGAATGCGAGACTCGAGGCGGTGCAGCCAACCGGGTCCCACAAACAGGATCTCTCCACGGTTCACCAACAATTGGTCTGTGGGCCACATTTTGGGAAATCCCACCTGCCTTTGAATGGCTTAAACTCTTTACACCAGGGAGTTAAGTTGTGCACACGCTTCAATCTTCCTCTTCCTAGCCAGATTTTGACACAGGCTACCGATTACCAATTAGGGGTGTAAAATCCCATTTAATTAATCCCTGGAGCACCCGCACCTATGGCACGCCTGGGCTGGGCCTGCTGCAGATGGGACCTGCTCTGGCCGGGCTGGAGTACCCAGATCTGTGGCTGGCCCCCTGGGGCTGTTCTAGCCCTCACCCGTTAACCATCAACCCCACCTGGTAAGGGTGACGCTTACCGGTTAGCCACTCACACCCCTACTCCTATTAAAACTTCTTTTCAATTATTTCTTCTGGGAGTTGGCTTTGCCTTGGTCTCTCTCTCTGAAGGAGAGCAGGACACAGACACACTACTTTTATGGCTCTTTCTTAGTGAAGGGTTTTTGCTTCTATTTTTGACTTCGGTTTCCTTTTTATGACCTTACAATCTTCTAGCCCATCACTTATACCGTGGAGATTAGCTAGCCTGGCAAAATCCTACTCACCAACAGCTACAGCAAGTACCCCACAATCAGCTGATTTATGATTTGCATCAACGTAGCACCTAGAAGCCTTCCTCACTGACCTCTTTATTTAATGCCAGCTACACTCCTGGGGAAAGGTGGGCAAGTAGAATCCAGGCCTGGGCTGGGGAACGACACGATTTTCCAAGGCCGGGATCGATATTTGTGGCAGGGCAGAAGACGAGGGCTACAGGGGTCAAGGAGGACCTGCCTCCCATTTCACACGGTGCTGCACAATTCACGTGGAGCAGCGTGTTGTTTTCTTCTAAAGCCTCAGGCATGTCTCTGCTGCCGAAGGACCCCTGATGACCAAAGAGCTTGTTCTAGGATGGCGATGCCTAGGATCTTGCACGACTGAGGAATGAGACAGGTTGGACCTCTCCGGTCCAGCACCCTTGCCTGGTCCCAAACCAGGGAGTTTGCCAGGCCAGGGGAGGTTAACGCCGGCCCTTCTGCTTCCGCCAGCTGCAGGGCTCTGCTCTGGCAGCAGCAGAGGGGCCAGCATTAACCAAGCAGTGACTGGGGGGGCAGGATGCTCAGGGGAAGAGGCAGGGTGGCTGTGCAGCCCTGCAGCTGGGAGCCAGAAGCACAAATAGCTCCACGGTTTGGGCCATTGGCCATGGGGCTCTACAGCCACCCTGCCTCTTCCCCTGAGGGCCACCCCCCCATCCCTGCTCCTCCTTCTCCCTTCCCCCGAGCTTGCACACTGCCAGTGAGCTATTTGCTGCTCTCCAGAAGCTCAGGGAAGACGAGGAGGAGTTGCTGAGTGCAGGGCCTGGCTTCTCCCAATCAGCGCTCCAGCCCGGGAGCACCCACAAAGATGCCGGACCACCGATGTTGCTGGACAAGGGAAGTCCGGACTACAAAGGTCCAACCTGTGCGAGGCTACTCACTATGGAGACAAAGCAGCGCTTCTTTTTAAGGCAGCTAAAGCAAACTCGCTACCTCAGGGAGAAGGCGAGAGTCGTCTTTACTCACTGATTCAGGTAATATCCTCTGGTGGACGCAGTGATGCTAACGTGCCGATCCTCCACAGTGATGACGTATAGATACATGAGGTCTCCGTGCATCTTCCGGTTGCCAGGCGGGGGATTCCAGCCACTCATGGTCAAGACTTTTAGGCATTGCAAAGGCTGCGAAGCACACCCGGCGAGCCCCGTTTCAGAACACATCCCATGGCAAGAACGCACACACGTTCACGGGCAAGCTCTCTCTGTCACACCTCCCCACCCCCGCCGATCCCAGGAACAGCGCTTGCCACATTCCCAGGCCCACTAAGTCTTGCAAGTCTTTCCCAGATGATAGTTCACACCACACACCCTAGCACTGGAGCATATGATTTATCCAGAATTGAAGAGCGCACTTTACGTGACTTTAGACGGGATGAGGCATGGATTTCCAGTCCCAATGGTTCTCAGAGCAGCAGCTTTTAAAGCCACGCTGGAATCCATGTGGGACGCACTAATGTACCGAGACTACAGCAATCGGAAATCCCAATCCCCTAGAATTTGCAAGGGGTAGAAACAAAAGCTCTCCCTCCCCCACCCTTTCAAGTAGGGATGTCAACATGCAGTCGACTACACAATTAACTGAGAAGCTTAGGCTTTTCGCTTAATCTTGTCGACTACATGCATTTCCCCCCGCTTTGCCACCTCTATCAACATGGGGACAAGGGGAAGCAGGAGATGGTGCCCATAAGGAGCTGGCCTAAAAGCATGGGATCTGCCTCCCCCTCCCCCGTGCTGCTGCCTCTGATAGAGAGGCAGCAGTGTGTAGGATGAGGGGGGCAGGCTGTAGCTGATACACGCAGGGAGCCAGCTTTTAAGCCGGCTCCCCATGAGTATCAATCAGTTCCATGGACCGACCTGTCCCACCTTCTCCCCCCACACTTTCTGCCTCCTACAGAGGCGGGGGTGGGAAGGCAGGAGCTGGTGCTAAGGGGGAAACCGGCTTAATATCTGGTTCCCCCAGCATCAGCTCTGCAGTGCTGCCTGCCCCACCTTTGTGCTGCTGCCGCCTCTACTAGAAACAGTAGCTCGGGGGAGGGGGGAACCGGGGAGGCAGCTATGAGCTCAGGCCTGCCGTGGACAGAGGCTGCTGCCATGCTGGGCTGCTGCTTCTGTATCAGAGGCAGCAGAGAGCTGGTCCGTGAGGGGAGCTGGTTTTTAAACTCACCCAGAGGCAGCAGTGCGGGGTGGCAGGAGGCTCCCCAGGAGTGGGGTCAGAGTGCACTGGCTGCCAGCCCCGCCCCCAGGGACTATCGAATAGTCGTGTAACCACTAAGATTCCATGCGGTTACACGACTACTCGATTACACGATAGCTAACATCCCTACTTGAAAGACAATGAGTCCTTGCTTTCAAGTGACCCAGCTATTCCAAGTAGTTTGTATGCAAAAGACTGGACCTTAAACTTTATGCCTTTGGCCTAGCCATGCTAATTAGTCAGACATTGCTCCAGGACTCAACAGAGCAAGTCCCAAAGGTCACTTCAGGGTAACATCCACTCCCCCAGCATGCCCCTTCAGGAGTGGCCCGGACACTTCAAAGATGCAAGAGAATTCTACCTTCCAGTCTCGGTTCTGGGGCTGGAGGGCACAGAGGGGTCTGTCTTTGCCACCCGGCAGGATATGTTCAGGAGGGGTGCAGTCAATTTGTTCCATCTCAATGCCTTTCTTCTTCCGCTTTCCACTGTCTACACAAATGGACAGACAGATCAGGGCCGAGCAGCGACTGCCTGGCAGTATGCAGTGCAGAATATTCCACATGGGACTCAACTGCGTGACCTCCCTCCAGAATTGAACTTCATCTGTTGGGTCTCTTGGAACTACACTTTAGCTACCCCCAGCGGGCAACCAACCAACAGCTTCACCCGCCTGGCCATTAGCATGACTGCAGAAAGTGGTGTTGATTAAGCACTGAGGCTGGAGTTTGCAAAGTTAGATGTTTATCTCCTGTTGAAAGTCATCTTGGGCGCTGTTGAAAGGATTTTGGCACCCGACTCCTTTACGACCTTTTGAAAGGTTACCTCTGCCTTTTAAGCTAGAGTATCCAGAAACAACAACATGCACCTTTCCCAAATGCGGCTCAAGAGAGAAAACATCTGTATGAGACTAACTCGCTCTGAAAGGATTACATTTTTAACTCAGTAAACATCCACGTCGCCCTATGCACGCTAACTGGCAGAACAAGGTGTCCATCAATAATCATCAAAAATGTCAGGCAAAGTAAGAACCCATTAGGCTACTTAGATTAGATTTAAGGCTACTTAGTGCATATTGACATGCAAGAGTCGCAATTTGTATTTAGCCCTTAGAAAGCTTTGCCTTCTTGAATCTCAAGGTCATTAAATAATTACTGCCTGACCACCCTAGAATTTCGTAATTTAAGATCGATAAAATAGTAGAAAAGCTTAAAAATAAACATTAGCTATTCTCTGTCAAAACGATACCAAACGCACAACAATCAAATTCTGCCAAACCTAAACAGAACCACAGCTCAACCAGCTGGGTCCAAGCATTTCCCAACTCAACAAGACCAGCTGAGCTCTCTCCCCTTCTAAAATTCAGATCGCCTTGGCAGATGCCTCGCTACAGACTTGGAGATCCTAACTTTGGGCACCAGCGTAAGTCTTGGCCACTATTTGAATAGAGAAACCCACCCCAACAACAGCACCCGCCTAGAACCACAATGCACAGCTTCACGTAAGAGCCTGGGAAAGAGCCCCGAGGGGTTAACAGGCCTTTGCATTACAGGCAGGCAAACAGACCCATCCTGGGAGAGGGAAGATGGTCCAGAGGTCAGAGCACTAGCCTGGGGTATGGGAGACCTCCGTTCAATTTCCGCTCCACTGCAAAATCCCGTGTGAGGCTGGCTTAGTCACTTCACCTCTCTGTGTTTCAGTTCCCGTCTGCCCAATGGGGAGAACAGCGCAACCCTACCTCACCGAGTCCCGTGAGGATAAACATTCACGCGTGTGAGGAACGCACAAACTGCAGACATGGGAGTCATACAAGCACCTCAGACACAGTACCAAAGGGTTAAGCAGCCCACTACCACGGACAGAACCAGGCAGCGAGCGGAGGACTTCTGACTCCACAGCCTCTACTCCGACCACCTATCAATAACTTACATAAGGAAAGGAGTGTTGAGAATGTTTACCGCAGGCCTCACTGACAGGGGACATCCATAAATTACACCAAGCAGGTTAAGTGAGTAAGTAGGCGGCGTGGAGGGACAGCTGGGTTTTCCACCGCAGCGGACAGGCGTGTCACACCAGAGTCGCCCTCTGTCCCGTACCTCCTAGGTCTCCTTCTGTGAAGACGCTCAGGAATGAGAGGGAATTGCAGTCCACACCATTGAAAGCATCTGACGGGTCAAGGCTTTTCAGAAGGTCTCGAATGTGACGCACGTGTATCCGGGCTTCCCGTACCGTGTAGGGCTCTGGTCGGCAGAAGGGAGAGACAGAATCTCAGGTTCACATAGTTTACTCCCTTAACGCCCATCGTGGCTTTCAAAGGTCTCTACACACAAGCAGCGCTCAAGTCAAAGGAGTTCAGCCAGGGATTCATTTTACCCCTCTCGTGTTAGAACCGTGCTTGTGCCTCACGTGCTTGTCCTTCCTGAGGGACGTGTCACAAGCATGAACAGCAACGGGCAATTCCCTGCCTCCTCCCCCCGCATGATGCTACGGCATGACCAGGCACGTCTGCCTGCAAGGTCTCACCCACCTTGCCGCATCAGTAAAGTGTCTGTGCTTCACTTGGAAAGGAAGCGAAGCCCGTGGTTCCAAACACCAATAACCAGGTTTGTTTAAAACAGGAGTGGGCACATACCGGCCCATGGGCAGGATCCGGTCTGCCAGGGTTAGCCGCTGGCAGGCCACCACGCTGCCATATTTCCCTGTACCTCCACAGGTACGGAGATCACAGCTCCTGTTAGTTGCGGATTGCCGTTCCCAACCTGAGAGCTGTGATTGCCTGTTCCTGCAAAGGTGCAGAGAAATATATTGGCAGTGGCCCAGCAGGGATTAACCCTGGTGAACTGCCGCTGTTTGATTGCCCACCCCTAGTTTAAAGGACGACACAGAGAGAATTGGACTCTTCACTGTTCTGCTGTCGGAATAAGGGATGTGAATGGTTAACATCACCCTTACCAGGTGATGTTCACCGGTTACAGTTCACTGGTGGGATTAACTGATTAATCGGGATTTTGCATCCCTATAAGGGGCAACCATGAAGTGGCATTTTCCCTTGGATACTTGGTATATTTGGCACTGGTGAAGGCCACCCGACATAGATGGAGTGGCTGCCCACCCAGGGCCTTACTTCCTTCATAGGATCAACCTCACCTTTTGCAGATGCTACCTGGGAGTCACCAGTCTGCCAGTGACCTAGCCCTTCTCCTGGTGCACACCCAGCTCAGATTGGGGGACAGGAAGTGACCCGTGACAGATGCTCCATGGCCTACATAAGATCAGTTCAATCCCAGTCCCATCCCCAAGCACAGAGAGGAGTCATATGGCAAGAATTGCCTCCACTACTGACATTCTTGGGGCCTCGGACTGAATGGGCCATGTAGACTCTGGGACTGATCTTATACTAAGGCTAGGAGGTAGCAGTGGGGATGGAGGGCCCTGCCTTCCTTTCCAGAGATGCCAGTCAATACCCAGCCCTTGTGGGCACTCAGCCTGTAGGAAGACAATCCAGAGGTTTCATTTCTCCATCCCTGACTGTCTCCCCTGCCCCGGACCCCCGTGTTTACGGAACGTGCCTTCCACCACTTTCAGCACCGACCCCTCCTGCAGCCCTTCAATGGTTTTCAGCTCCGCAAAGTTATCCAGGACATTCCCATCCAACTGCAGAGAGAAGCAGGTTCGATGGCAGGTGTCCTCTCTGTCCATCAGCACTTGGTGGATCTCCTGCACCATCTCTTGGGGAGAGACCTTAAAAAACCCAACAACAAATGAATGCAAGTCGTTACATGCGCAGCACCACCCTCTTCCTGTCTCCGCGCCCAAACAGCACTCAGAAAGGAGGTGACTGATTTTTTGGGGGGGGGGGGGGGGAGAAGAGTTAGACTGGTCTCTGCCATCCTACTTACCAAGGCAGCATGCCAGCAAGTTACAAGGTTTTAGTGTTTCCAGGGATGTCTTCAAGGGGAGCGCTGGCACGCAGCACCGCTCTGGGGCAGCCTGGGGTTCCTAACTCCCAGGCACGGTCTCCCCCATAGCCCCTTTGCAATGCAGCAGGGGTTGGCTGTGGGGCACTTGTGGCCCCTCTGCACTCTCAGGAGCTTGGGCAGGTGGGATTTAAGCCTCCCTCCTGGCTCTCGGCTTGGTGGAGGGGAGAAACATTCCTACATTGCACCGCTTCCCCTCGGACCTCCCCACATATCGGCCAAGGTGGTTCCAACCCACGGAACCATGGAGCAGGGGCACGTCATGGCTGCGTTTTTCAAACAACGGGTCATGACCCAGGACGAGGGCGTGGAATGTCGGGAGCTGGGTCTCGTTGCTGCAGGGAAAATCAGGTGACTGGGGGGGAGGCAAGGCAGCTCCCTGCCTGTCCTGGCACTGCAGACTGTGCTGTGCCTCAGAAGTGGTCAGCAGCAGGCCTGGCTCCTAGGTGGGGGAGGGGGAGAAGAGGGCTCCGCACACTGCCCCTTCCCTGAGCACTAGCTCCGCACTTCCATTGGCTGGGAATCTGCTGCTGGCTGCTTCTGGCGGCAGCATGGTCCGCGGTGCCGGGAGAGGCAGGAAGCTGCCTTAGCCCCGCCTACTGCACTGCTGACCAGGAGCCGCTCAAGGTAAACCCCTCCTGCCCCAGCCCTGACCCCCTCCCAAAGCCGGAGCCCCCTCCTACACTGAAAAGTTCATCCTCAGCCCCACCCCGGAGCCAAATTACGTTGGGTCACAGGTATCAATTTTTCTTCAACTGGGTCATGAGGAAAAAAGTTTGAAAATCGCTGCACTAGGGTACTGGGTGTTTATGGCTACAAAAAGTAGACAAGTTCAGATTCCAACAACATTAAGCATTTGGGGCCAGATTTGTAAGGATGCCAAAGGCAAAATGGATAATTAGGAACCAAGCCTGCTATTTCCTCATTTAATTTGCTTTGCACACACTCTGGCGGGTTAGGCATGTAGAACCACACGGTATCTTGTGGGGAAATTGAGCCTTTCCAGCCTGCAGCTTCAGCAACAGAAACAGCTCTCTTGGCTGGTGGGCTTGGCCTACCAAGGCGCCTCTCAAACCCTTCTGCCCCATTTCAAACCTCCTGAAGGCCATTCCCGAGCTATGCAGTCCCAGGATGGTTTACATAAGCTGCTGTAAATAGCAGAGCCTGCTATTATTAGCCCATAAAACCTAACAGCCAAAAGGAATTAAAGGAAAAAGGAGCTCTGTGAAGACTCATCTGCTTGTGCTGGGGAAATCATTTAACCGCATTTTCTGCCAGTCACGGGTAGTTACAGTTCCCCCGTCATTTAGCGACTCGGAGGCCGCCAGAAAAAAGCTTTCCCTAGGCTGTTTTCAGGCAACTATCGCGCCAAAGAGTAACGGCAGCCGAGCATGTCGAAGCCCATCCGGATCTGCGGGGGATCGACATTCGTCCGTGAGTCACATGCGAGGGCTAGTCATCAAACTGCTCATCTCAAAGGAGCTTCTGTAACTCCTCTGCCCTGCCAGCCAGAAGCAGGAATTCCCCGTCACTCCCTGTCAGAGCGCATTTTTGCGCACCGCCCCTGAAGCACCTCGCTTGGGAAAGTCAGCCTGCCCGAAGAGACCGTGGCTTGTCTTCTGAGGGACCCGGCGCAAGTGTCAGCAGCAACGGACAGTTTTACATCACTGCCCACTCGCTTGATGCAGCAGCTTGACCAGGCACCTCTGTCTGAGAAGGTCTCACGCCCTGCCTAACGGCTGTGCTGCCTACGCTTTCCTTCGGAAGGAAACAAAGCGGGGGGGGGGGGGGGGGGGGGGAAGGGGAAATCCCCTCCTTTACAGGGGCCGCCCCTGCTGCTAGGGACTGGCCCACTTTCCATAGCCTCCTGGCCCCTTCTCTGGAGCAAGGCAGAGGAACCTTCCCCACCACACGGCAGCTCTCAGCTTCATCCCTCAATGCCACGCAGGCTGGCAGGTGAGCAGCCAGGCACGGAGCAGCTAGTTCGACCCAACCTGCCCAGCCCGACTTTGCCTCCCATGAGCTCATGTTGCCTCTCCAAGTTCAGGACCTGGAATGAGTGTTCACTTTGGAGCCTGTTGTGCACAGCTGGAAAAACAATGGAGGAGAGAGAACCACCAAGGGGGTGCTGGAGAGGGGCACGTGGACTCGGGGTAGCCCCCCATATAAAGCAAAGCCACTGCCTGTACTGACAGGGATGGTAGAGAGGCTAACAATAGGTGCCCAAGCACCACATGCAGGTTGAATCTCTAATCCAGCACCCTTGGGACCTGACTGGTGTTGAACCAGAGAATTTGCTGATCCACAGGAGGTCACTACTGTCTAGCAGCTTTGCCAACACTTCCACTGCTTCCTGGGCTCTTAGAAGACATTGAGGGGTAAATTAGAGCCAAATTACTGCACAGAACCAGTACTTGTGGCTGTAAACAAACTTATGGGACCGCGGGAAACTTGGCCACACCCATAAGTGGACATCTGGCTAATTAAAATCCTGCTGGACCATGGATGTTGCTGGACCAGAGCGTGCCGGACTAGAGAGGTTCCACCTGTCCCAGAGGGAAAGCCACAGTGCTGTAGATGCTCTGAAAAATCAGTTATGTTTCCAGCCATTGGCTTGCTTCCCCCTCCCCCCCCAGGATCCAGTGTACAACATCCTCCTTGGCTCAGGGTCAGCTAAGCCTCCACAGGCTTGCACCAGTCAGCCCCCAAGACTGCAGCTCCCATTGCCTGGCCAACCTCCTTTCTTCCCCTTTGCATTGTCCCAACGCCGCCACCTCGTCAGCCTTCTTGCTGCAGCTCTATGCCACTGTCCTCAGGGAGAGGGAAAGCAGCCAACCGGGGAGAGACAAGCGTCTTTATGACCATGAGATTCTGGGTAAATAAAGCGTAGCTCTGCCAAAACATCTGCCCAGTCACTTGTTCTTCCCCCTTTACTTATTGGGAGAGAAGGCAGGAGGCGCATGCCCCTACCTCAAAGGCTTCTGAGTTAGCTCTTGCCACACAACGTATGTCAGGGTAGGCAGATCTCAAGGAAACAAAGCTCTAACTAGAATGTGAAAGATTAACTGATGGGGGCTGGAGCGCCTCCCCCCTTAACCAGTTAACCAACCAGTTAACCATCACGTTTAACCAGATAGCCAATTAAACAGGATTTTACTTCTAGTTTCTAACCTGAGCCCTGCCACTGCTTTTCCTGCCATCCCCTGACGACCCAAGCAAGCGATTTAATCTCCCTCTGGCTCCCCTCATATCTAGGGACCTACCTTCCTCGCTCACACAGGAGCCTGGAGAGGATTAGTTAGCATTTGTAACAGTGCGAGTGTCACGTCACATGCTGGCATAAATGATTTCCACACAAACCAGCCAGTATCCGCCAATCCCTTTCCAGCCCGTGTCTGTTCCTCAGAACCGCCTCCTTCTCCCCCATTCTGACCTCAGCTAGCTCTAAACCGCATCGCTTCAAAGGCCACTCACCTGCAGGGAAAAAGGCTCTATCCCTGGAGCGCAGATCTTGACGGTGAAGCCAGTATCCTGGATGACGATCACTTCCTGGTCATTCCCCTCGTCCCCATGGTCCACTTCCTCGTGGCCATTCTGCCGGCTCTCCTCCTGGAGCGGCTCGTGTGAGCCGTCGCCGTTTGTTAAAGCCATGCCAGATGGGTGTTCTAGTCACCACATGGAAGAGAAGAGAGAGATTTACGTCTGAGGCTCACACAACGAAGCCAGCCGCCCTGGCTTGCTTAACGCACCACCCCACCACAAGCTGGGGATCTCCATTTCAAAGGTGTAAACAATCTGTAGTTAAAAAAAAAAAAAGAGCAAGTCACTGGATTTTTTTTCATTCAGTTGGTGTTTACCAGACATAGGTGTGCCGTACCTTACCTCTTGCACACGTAACACCCTTTCCCTTGCCTGAGGGGTACACATGTGCCTATGAGAACAGAATCAGGAAGGAGGGGAGAGAAGAAAACAGGGAGAATAGTTCAGCTTAGAACACGTTCAGTTCAATTTGAAGAACGTTCTTAATTAAAAGAGATGGGTGTGTGGCACTTTACAGCCCAAGGGCAGCAGTCCCTTACGCACCTACCAGTTATATGGGCTCTTACAAACCTCTTCTTGCTGTCCTAATCAGCTGCATTGCCAACCCTGCACATAACGTGGGGCCCAAGCTACTCTGCAGAAACACACAAAGCGCTCCCATGCCCCTGTACGCGTCACCCAACTCTCTATATTTTAGAAGTACTTTGCAGATGTCTTGGAGTCCGAGGAGAGAGAGAGAGAGACTGCTTGAAGAACAGCACCTCAGCGGACACAAAAATAAAATGACTTGTGGTCCTGCAGTTCCTCCATGCCCACCTTTTTGCTGTGGCTGGGACACAAGACGACTTTCTTAATGAATATCCACAGATACAGAAGCCATCGGCAGTGTGATAATGACAGTCACCTAATCAAATGTTAGGAATCATTAAGAAAGGAAGAGAGAATAAGACAGAATATCTCAATGCCTCTTTAAATCCACGGTGCCCCCACATCTTGAATACTGCATGCAGATGTGGTCACCTCATGTCAAAAAAAGGTTGTCTTGGCATAGGAAAAGTTAAGAAAAGAGCAACAAAAATTATTAGGGATATAGATCAGCTCCCACAAGAGGAAAGATTACTAAGACTGGGACTTTTCAGCTTGGAAAAGAGATGACGCGGGGGGGATATGATAGGTCTATAAAGTCATGACTGGTGTGGAAAAAGTGAATAAAGAAAAGTTATTTACTCCTTCTCATAACACAAGAGCTAGGAGTATGAAATTAATAGGTAGCAGATTTAAAAACAAACAAATAGGAAGTATTTTTTCACACAACACAGAGTCAACCTGTGGAACTCCTTGCCAGAGGATGCTATGAAGGCCAAGACTATAACAGGGTTAAACAAAAGCTAGATAAATTCATGGATGATAGGTCCTTCAATGGCTATTAGCCAGGATGGGAAGGGATGGTGTCCCTAGCTTCCGTTTGTCAGAAGCTGGGAATGGGCAACAGGGGAGGGATCACTTGATGACTGCCTGCTCTATTCATTCCCTCTGGTGCACCTGGCACTGAACAGTGTCAGAAGGCACCGGGCTAGATGGACCGTTGATCTGACCCAGTCCGGCTGTTCTTATGTTCAAGATCCATAGTGCTATTGAATGGTCTCTTAAAGAGTCGTGTTAATTCTTGAACTGTCTGGATTTCACGAGACTGGGCAGAACACTAGGTAATGTGCTTAAGGGGGGGACACTCCTGGCCTGGTCACGAAGAAAGGGCTAGTCTTGTTAATCTAACAACAGAGCTACACAATTTTTCTGAGTCAAAATAGGCTGTTTCCTCAAAGCTGGAAGATTTTGCCAGCAGCACATCAGTCTCAGTAAAGTTTTATCTGGATAGTTTAAGGAGAGACACTGTCACCTTGTAGCCTAGTGGCTAAGGAACTGCTCTGTCCGGGCACAATTCCCTGCTCTGTCTGATTCAGAGGGATCTAGGATGAAGAACTTCTGTTCTCGTGCCCTCCTTACCACGAGAGAGGCTCCTTCCCACATTGGAAAGAACTTTTCTTCCCAAACAAAACACCACAAAACTCAGTGTTTTCCATTGTTCCAATGAAAACAAATGTCAAAACCTGCTGTGAAATGAAATTGTCACCCTCTTACTCAACTGGTTTAGACATGGCTATTGTTCCTAGGGAGTTAGAACTCTGTGTATATCATAACATTTATCTCAACGACTTACCCAGCCATTCATCTGCATAGGATTCAGATGAGGACAAGCATTGTGACATTCAAAACCAAATGTGGTCATCTGCCAGGCTAGCCCCAAAGTGTCAGCTCCTACTGTAGCCCAAGATGGTCATGTAACCAATGTTCCCCAAACGCTTGGGCGGCCGCTCAGAGGAGATGCAAATGCTGCCCAGCTGATTGGCAGAGCGCCCACAGCTAGGTGTTTTTCTACTGGTGGTGCACACTCACACATGCCTTGGTGCATGTATAAAATTATTCCACACATGGATGGAAAAGACTGGATGGAACATTGACTAACCCCTCAGCTGCTCACTTTTACCATCCGGATAAACAGGGATAAAAATATTTACTTGTCTGCCTTTGGAAGGTGCCACAAGAGTTAAGTAGCTAAGGCCAGCAACGTTCTCTCTCATAGGATTATTATTCGGGTGTTCTGGCTCCAGATGAAGATCACTGGTAATTTATTGGCCGCCTACTTGCAGATGACTGTCAAGGTCAAATTACAACAGAAAGCGAGTGCGAGAGATATGACAGGAACCAATTTCTCCCTCTCCAGCGGGACTGGGTAAAGAGCACAGCTGCTTTCGCAGCCTCTGGGGCCCATCAGCAGGGGCTGCCCAGATGCTAATGTTTAGTGGCCCTACCATGAGTGCTGGGCTTGAACCGAAACCCATGAGCTGAGCAGACTACAGGCTCTACTAGGATTCTGACAAGCCCAAGCCAGGCTGGGAAAGAGGAACAGATGCAAGCAAAGGTGCCCTGACAAGCTGAGCCTTTGAAAGGCAAGCCTCCCTTTCCCCCCTTGTTACATCTGCGGGTATCGCCAGAGCTCCCCTTATACAGCCTGGTGCCCAGGGGGATGAGGTCACAGATTCCCACTGAACTGCTACCTCTGGGGTTAATAGCACAGCTGACAGCACTAGTCCTCCCCTGCCACATGTCCCAGGCTCCAGAAGTCAGGCTAAGGGCTGGGCTTGTTGCACTTTAGCACACGTGGAGGTAGGGAGCTATTATCCTATTGCTGAACTATTATCTGTGGTTTGTAACCTATCCTTTAAATCGGCTTCCGTACCTAATGACTGGAAGGTAGCCAACGTGACACAATATTTAAAAAGGGTTCTAAAGGCGATCCTGGCAATTACAGACCAGTAAACCTAACTTCAGTACCGGGCAAATTAGTCGAAATAATAGTAAAGAATAAAATTGTGAAGCATGTAGAAAAACATAATTTGTTGGACAAAAGTCAACATGGTTTCTGTAAAGGGAAATCCTGTCTTACTAATCTATTAGAGTTCTTTGAAGTGGTTAACAGACATGCAGCAAGGGGGATCCAGTAGATATAGTATAATTAGATTTTCAGAAAGACTTTGACAAGGTCCCTCACCAAAGGCTCTTGTGTAAACTACATGGCCATGGGATAAGAGGGAAGGTCCTTTCTTGGATTGAGAACTGGTTAAAAGACAGGAAACAAAGGGTAGGAATAAATGGTAAATTTTCAGAATGGAGAGGGGTAACTAGTAGTGTCCCTCAAGGGTCAGTCCTGGGACCAATCCTTTTCAACTTATTCATAAATGATCTGGAGAAAGGGGTAAGCAGTGAGGTGGTAAAGTTTGCAGATGATACCAAACTGTTTAGGATAGTCAAGACAGAAGCAGACTGTGAGGGACTCCAAAAAGATCTCACCAAACTGAGTGATTGGGCAACAAAATGGCAAATGAAATTTAATGTGGATAAGTGTAAAGTATTGCACATCGGGAAAAATAACCCCAACTATACGTACAGTATGATGGGGGCTAATTTGGCTATGACAAATCAGGAAAGAGATCCTGGAGTTCTGGTGGACAGTTCTCTGAAAACTTCCACACAGTGTGCAGCGGAGGTCAAAAAGGCAAATAGGATGCTAGGAATTATTAAGAAAGGGATAGAAAATAAGACCCAGAATATCTTACTGCCCCTGTATAAAACTATGGTACACCCACATCTTGAATACTGTGTACATATGTGGTCTCCTCACCTCAAAAAAGATATTTTGGCCTTGGAAAGAAAAGGGAAACTAAAATGATTAGGGGTTTGGAACAGGTCCCATATGAGGAGAGACTGGGACTTTTCAGTTTAGAAAAGAGGAGACGGAGGGGGGATATGATAGAGGTCTATAAAATCATGAGTGGTGTGGAGAGGGCGGATAAAGAAAAGTTATTTATTAGTTCCCATAACAGAAGAACTAGAGGACACCAAATGAAATTAATGGGTAGCAGGTTTAAAACTAATAAAAGAAAGTTCTTCTTCACACAGCGTGTAGTCAACCTGTGGAACTCCTTGCCAGAGGAGGCTGTGAAGGCTAGGATTATAACAGAGTTTAAAGAGAAGCTAGATAATTTCATGGAGGTTAGGTCCATAAAAGGCTATTAGCCAGGGGATAAAATGGTGTCCTTGGCCTCTGTTTGTCAGATGCTGGAGAAGGATGGCAGGAGACAAATCGCTTGATCATTGTCTTTGGTCCACCCTCTATGGGGCACCTGGTGCTGGCCACTGTCGGCAGACAGGATACTGGGCTAGATGGACCTTTGGTCTGACCCAGTACGGCCGTTCTTATGTATGTTCTTATGTAGGGAGGCGGGGCTTATCCCTAAGCGTGCTACAGTAGGCACCATGTAGGACAGGCTATGTTAGAATTAGGGGAACTTGCACTCAGGGCAGCAATGGGTCACCAGACACACACAGCAGTCTTGACATTCTCCCACCCTGAAGATCTTGCTTGCAGCCCTGGCAAACCACATGGGCTGGATCTTGTAGTGCCAGTAAGCATTAAACGGACTCCTCTCTGCTGCCCCTCCTCATCCCATGGCTTTACCAATTCATATTCTTTCCTAGTGGCCAAAGCAGCCCTGGGCTGGAGAAA